CAATTAGGATTAGAAGCAAAAGTATAAGGTAAGCACATAACAGTAATCATCTTTGCTAATTCTTCACGATCTCTATTTGGATCGTAATATAAAATACCTCCGGTGACAGTGTTAATTCCTGGTTGAACTATATTTGAACTTGTACTAGGGTTAATCGCAGAATCTACACTTGTCCTCTCTAGCTGCCTTTCATTTGTAAAAATCTAGCCTTATCTCTAGGGTGTGTTTTTATGTGTCTAGTCAAACTACCCGTGCCGCTACGGTCTCCAGTATAAAAATTCCAAACTAATGATGTTTCTAGGCATTTAGCAGGTTCTCTATTAAAAGTAGGAGTTTCTACAGGTGGGTCAGTCGGTGCATCAGTTGGGTTATTAAGAGGACTAGTGGGTGTATCATCTAAATCCGGTGCTTGGGTTTCATCATCATCCTCATTTTCCTCATTATTTTCTAAGATAGTTTCATTAGGATAAAGAGCATTCATAATTTCATCATCTAATCTTTCACCTGGTGCAACATTATGGCAAAATTCACAATCGATAAATTGAAAACAAGGGTGATCACTATCAAGAATTACGGAAGGAGGAGGATGTCTAGGTTGGCGACTACTTTCAACTTGCTTATCTTTTCTAGGTCGGGGAGCCGGGGGAAGGGTAGTTGGTTGGCCACTACTTTCACCGGTTTTATCTTTTCCTTTACCAAACATTTTTTTCAAAGAAAATGCCATATTAATTATAATTATGCAAACTAAACCACACAAAAATATATTCTTAAAACGTAAGAGTTGAAATGAGTTTACCGGATTGCCGAACGACTTCTTGAAAATTGAAAATCGTTAAACACTTGAAAACTTCAATTCAACAACTTCACAATTTTTCCCAAAATTTCAACAATAAATTAAGTAACTGTAGTAGAGAGATTGAGAGATATTGAGAGATATTGATGAATTGGTGAATAAAAATGAAAGAATGAGGGGGTATTTATAGTTGAGAAATGGGAAAAATTGTAATTATATAAAGTTTGGGGTTAAAATAAAGTTTGGGGGCCAAATGGTTTTTCTAAACTTAAAAACGGTCAAATTGTCAGCCAAAACAGCTAGATTTTAAATATGGCCGTTGGAGAATTTAAAAAAAAATTAAAAAAATAGCCGTTGGGCCCATTAGGCCCGGCTGACGGTCCCGAGCTAAACGGTCCCGGGCTCGTGGGCTAATGTATGAAGACTGGCCCGTCACGGGCTTCTCAAGACCACGAAGACCGGCCCACCAGGCCCGTTAGGACCGTGGGCCCGGTCCGGTCCGGTTCAGGCCAGCCCACCAAACAACACTAGTTCTAAAGTACCAACAGGTGCTTGATCTCCATCACCAAACAAATCACCTTTTGCAATATCACTTCCCAAAGCACAACTTGGTGCATGTTTTTCAGTATCAACAACTTGATCATCTGCACCTTTCTCAGTTGTTAACTCTTCATCATTTCCATCTTTACTCAGTCTATAAACACTATATTGTTCCTCTCCAAATTGTTGTTGAACATGCTCATCGCCTTAAACAACTGCTTCCTCACGTGTACCATTATCATCTGCGACTTTATGCGATGCATCATGAGCAGCATGTTCTTCAGTATCAACAACTTGATTATTTGCACCTTGCTTGCTTCCAGCATTCTCAGTTGATAACTGTTCATCATTTCCATCTCTGCTCAGTCTATCAACACTAGAACGTTGCTCTTCAACTTGTTCTTGAACATATTGATCGCCTTCAAAAGCCGCTTCCTCACGTGTAGCATTTACATCTGCGACTTTATGCGATGCATCATCAACAACAACATTAATATCTGATAGATGTTCGTAATAAACGTTCATCCTATCATATTGTCGATGGTTACTCAAATCAAAATTGTTATCGTCCATTCCATTTGATTTGTCGACAATCTTAAATAACTGTTCAAACTTCTCATCGAAATATTCCTAGAATTTTTTTTTACTAACAATGATTAATCTGAATAACATTAGCAGAAATTAAAAGATTCTCTATAAATTAGCTTACCTTCACTTTTTCAAAAACCGCATCCATAATAGCAGATCGCTCATCCTGTTTAAACTTATCGAAAACTTCTTTCACGATCTTGCTTCTTTCTTTTTATGCATGCCTTTGAACCTCCATTATTACCCTCTAGTATAGACACACAATAAAAATTCAAATATAAAAGAATGCTGAAGTCAGCTACTATGATGCTGAAGTTCATTACAAACAGAACAAAACTTCAGCTCAAAAACATGCTGTACTTTTACAAAAACACAACCAAAAAACTTCATATCAAAACTTACTAGGCATATTGTGTCGAGTAATTCATTCTCATCAAACTCCATTGTAGAACGATTAGAATGACTCTGGGTACGAGATGATTCGCCAATAACAGAAGTTCGATTCGCTTATTTTGATCGACTCCGAGTACGTGGTGATTCGCCAATAACAAGAGTTCGATTCACTTCTTTTGATCGACTCAGACTACGTGGTGATTCACCAGTTGAAGGAATCGTATTAAGTACCTTTGAATGAATCCAGTTGCATGGTAATTGTCCAATTAAAGGCATTGAATTCAATTCCTCTTCTGTAGGAAATTATATCCAATACCCTAAATTTGCGATAACTCTGTTTAATACAAAAAAGTATATTATGAGGGAGAAAAAACTAATCAACATATTAACACAAAGACAAAAAAAATTAACTTACATCATGACTACTGAAGAAATCAAAAAGTTCGTTATATTTAGGCTCTCCCACACATACATAACGTAACATCCTAGGAACCTGAAAGGGTATCAAGGTACTCATCCTCTCTTATATACTTCTCCCGAATATCTGGGAAGCGTTCATAGAACCAAGCACATAACGGATATGGAAATCCACCAACTTTATACTCAGTTGAATGAATTTTGTTCTGCTTGTCCAATGCATGTTTCAGTGAGTAAATGAGCTTCTCATAACACACATTACCCCAAGGATATTCAGCACAAACCTTATCATCTTCAACAATAGCTATATATTGCTCCATCACAGATGATTCAGTCTTTTTCCCAAACAAAATAGACTCTACAACAAGAATTTCCATAAGCTTCACAACATCATCATCACTCTCGCATACGTGATTGTGATTCACAGCATTCTTTGGAATTTCATTCCGAGTTATAAAATCTTGAATATCCTTCAAGGTCACACCCTTGGACTTACCAAAATAGCGCTTCAGAATATTGCTCTCTCGATTAATTGGTTTTTCAATATTATGTGTTGTGATCCGCAAACCGCACATAATTTGAAAGTCTTCAAGGGTAAAGGAAACATCATGGCCAAAAATTTTGAAACTAATGGAGTCTTGATCATTGGTGAATATTCGAGAAAGACACAAACAATGAACCAACTTCATGCTGCATTTGAAATTCTCCATAGCCATAATATATCGAAATGTACCATTATTAAGATTATCCCGTTGTGTAGGAGTCAAGAAACTTGCAATTAAACTCTTCAAATCGTGGTTCCCCTTCCAGTAACCCTTAGAGTTAAACCAATCTCAAAACTCAAAATATCTTTTCTCTGGTCTTGTAGGTGGAGCAGTAGGGACATAAAGACCTGGGGGGTATTATAGGTTGCTTAAGAGCTTTAGATGCATTAGCTGCTTTGCGTGCTTTAGCTGCATTAGGATCTTTAGGTGCTTTAGGTGCCATCTGTTCAAAAAAAGTAAAAGATACAAAAAATAACATCAGGACATTATCGAAAAAATCAGTTAAAACTTCAACTCAAAGAAGGTTGAAATTCGTCAGTTATAAACAAAAACTTCAGCTCTAGAGCTGAAGTTCGCCAGTTACAAAACAAAAACTTCAGCTCTAGAGCTGAAGTTCGCCAGTTGAAGTTCACTAGTTACAAAAGCAAAAATTTCAGCTCTAGAGTTGAAGTTCACCAGTTACAAAACAAAAACTTCAGCTCTAGAGCTGAAGTTCACCAGTTACAAAAACAAAAACTTCAGCTCTAGAGCTGAAGTTCGCCGGTTACAAACAAAAACTTCAGCTCTAGAGTTGAAGTTCGCCAGTTACAAAACAAAAAATTCAGCTCAAGAGCTGAAGGTCAACAGTTACAAAAACAAAAACTTCAGCTCCTACAACTGAAGTTCACCAGTTACAAAACAAAACATTCAGCAAAAAACATGCTGTAGTTTTTAAAAAAACAAAACACAAATTCAAATCCAAAAATAATGCTGAAGTTCATAAAAAATATCACAAAAAAAACACAAAACATGAAACAAAACTTCAGCTCCTATCTAAGGTATCACTAAACTATTATAAACTTCACACTTTAATAGTATCATCTATTTAACTCTCAAAATTTTTAAAATTTCGACGTCTAATCACAGAAGAATTTATAAATTTTTCATCAACAACGCAAACACACGTTCAAAAAACCTAAAAACACAATCGTAAAAATAAAACTAATGCACTTATCAAACTAAACCCTAAGAAACTATTTTATCATAAGTACATGACTAATAAAACCAAAACCAGAAATTAAATCGTAAAAATTAATACTAAAATAAAACCCAGAAAGTTAATGCAATGTATGTAACACCCCAAAAATATTTTATAACATTTGCATTCTTGATTGGACATTTTTATAACGAGGAAATATTTTACTTTGCACTTCCTAAATGTGAAATGGTCAATATATGAAAATTTCTTACTTTAGGTTGTGTTAATATTGACAATGAAGTTTCATGATGTTGCTATATGTAACACTTAATATTATTTTGACTAGCTGTTATTAAATATAATATATAATTAAGTTTTGGTTTCCAACCTTTTGTATTTATCTAAGAATATTTAGTGGTTGAGTAACCATTTTGTTTCTACTCTTCAAGACAAAGAATCTATCTCTCTCTTTCTATCTATCCCTCCTTCTCTCTATCTCTCTCTATATCTCTCCTCCATAGAAACTTGAAAATCTGAAGTTTCATGAAAAAAACCATGGATTTCTGCTAAATCAACAAGCAAATTTCGTTTTTGGTGAAGATCAAGTTGCTCCTCTTGGTAAGTTTCTAAACTCGTTTTTATACTAGACACCTACTAGATTATTCTACATATCTTTTTGTACAGAGCTCCGATTTAAGTGATCCAGGACTTTCGAGAAAGGTATTTCATAAATCTATAATTTTTATGAAGGAACTAAAATCTAGTTTTGTTGTTATTTACCTGAAAATGGATCAGAAAGTACAGGACAGGTGCTGTCCAGATTTCCAGTTTTAGAAATACTCCATGTACTGCTGTTAGTAATTTTAGCATAACTTTTTGTTCAAAATTGATATGAAGGTGATTCAAGATGTTCTGAAATGGTAAGATATAGATCTACAACTTTTATGAAGACTAGAAAGTCTAGTTTGTCCGTGTATATCTTCAAAATTGAGACACAACTCGGAACAGTGATACTGTCCAGAATTTCTGTTTCAAACGTTTTTTGGGTAATTTTCACCAATATCATATTTAGTTTGACTTGCTAAATCACTGAACTTATTTAGATACTTGATTATGTATTTAGGGGTCGTTTGGTAGGATGCATTAGATAAACTAATGCATGCATTAGCTTTGTATATTAATAATACATTGTTTGGTAGACATTTTGAACCTATGCATTAGTTATGCAAGCATTAGTTATACATTCTACTTGGTATTATCCTATGCATAACTAATGTATAGAAAACAATGGTATTAGCAATGCAATGAGTTTTAATGCATGCATTAGCTTAGTTAAAGACAAAATTGTCCTTCAAAATTTATGCTTGATTAAAATATGCTAGTTAATATATTAATGCAACTTCAAAATAATCCAAATAGTGAGAAATAAAATTATATCCATAGTAAATAAATAAATACTTAGCATATTTCCTTTTTTATAAATAAATATTTAATTTTATTTTAAAATATAGGTAGACAAATAAAATAATTTTTTTTAAAACTTTTTCATATAAAAATATTTCTCAACATATGTTTCTTTTAAAAAGTTAGAGTGTGGGCTAGTTTTGAGGATATTTTTATAAACAAACAATTCTTTTAGAAACTGTGCAATGTTTTAATGCATCAAACCAAACAATGGATAAGAAATATGTCAGCATAACTAATACCAGCATAACTAATGCAAGCATAACTAATACCAGCATGACTAATACACCCTATTCAGCATTATTCTTATGCACCCTACCAAACGACCCCTTAAGGTATATAAACCCTTGAAAAAAATCAAAGGGGAAGTGTTTGAGGGAGTGGACAGATTTGGTTTGTTTACGGCGCAGACGATTCGAACGTCCCCAAGTTGTGATTGAACTTTTTCGTGGTAAAACACCAAGGTTTGTGTATAAACTTGTACTCTTTTTAATTGCTGGAATATGTTGAAATAACTTGATATTTTATTTTTCTTGGCTTTAATTTATATTGTTATATTCGTACTATATCAAGTATTGTAAGATATTTGCTAAATCGCCCATTCGTACGGATTGTTTGATCATTTTGCATTCTTATTGGACTTTGTCCTTCTTGTGGCAGTGACTTTGTCACTCACCTTGGCATGCCTCTTGATTCGGATCTTTTGCCATCTTGACTTTGGATTTGTAGTTCGTCTTGAATTATGGAACTTGTCCGTGTTAAGTACGAACTAGGAAGCCATTTTTAATATGGTTCTTGATTCTCTTGTCTATTGGGTTTTGACCCTACTTGATTTGGGGCTTCGGTCCATCTTGATATCTGATTATGCTTAGTGTGATGGCATGACGTACATATTGGGCGAAAAATGGATATTTGGTATACTCTCTTAAATTGATAGTATACACTTTCTAGACTTTTGAACATTGTTATTGATATTTGGAAACACTTCAAAGTTTGATATTGATATATTTGATATATTTGTTCACTTGTTTTAAATTATGTTAAATTGAGCTAACTATGACTGAAAAAGGGGAATTGGAGAATTTAATAACTTCAAGCCTAAAGTTTGTACACCACTAAGCTTTATGTTTAGCGATAGTTGTTTTCTATCGTAGGAAATGTTTGGGATGAAATCTGAAGATGGCCAGGGTGAAGTAGTCTTTTTGGGAGAATTTATGGAGATCACATTTGCATATGCACCTTGCTTTGCATAGTTTTGGGACATGTACATGATATACATAATATACAGGATATATATATATATATATATCACACTTATGTTATTTGGAGGCTTGTTGGATTTTAAAGACCAAAATCTTGTAACTTGAATTTCTAACCTATTTTATTGTATTAGGGTGTTTTAATAATTCAAGTCTTGTAATATGCTGAATTTACACTTTGTCTTGTAAATATGTAGAAAAGGAGAAAACTAGTTTTTTTTTTTACCCGATAAATTGAAATTTTTGTACAATACAAACTTGTAGTGATTTTGAATGATTGTATAAATCTGTTAGGAAGTTGCTTTAATTTGTTGATTAATAAAGAAGGGTTATATCACCATATGTTAATATTTTGACATTGTATTTCATTTAAAATAAAATTATGATGTATTTTCAAAAAAAAAAATATTGCACTTTGAACCTTTTCGCATGGGCCTACTTCCGCTACTAAAATTATTCTGAATATTTTTATTAATATCTCTTTTAATATTTTGTAAGTAGGAAATTAGATTTGTTTCCTAAGTACCCTCCCAAAGGGGTTGCTATAAGTTTTGGTATCAGAGCCACGATTTGTGATTCTAAGATTTGTTTTGTTGTGATAGTACCTAGTATTTGTTGTTATTTTCTTTCTTGAAAAAGACTTGGAGTTTATAAATTTTTGTATACTTGTTTAATTTAATTTATTGTATTCTGTGTGCATATGCATCATGTACATGTCCCTAATGCAGTGCGATCTTATCTTTTATAGGACTTTTAATATGACCTCTTCTTCGAATAGAGCTGTTGAATCCGTTGATGAAAGTCAAGACCAGTATAATGCCATGCCTCACCTTCAGGGAGGAAATGAGGAACCCTTGCCTGACCTAAATCATCCTCGTGTTAGTGGAAATGAAATGGGCAGTAATCCAAGAGCAATGAGTCATAATACTCCATTTATGACTCCCCTATTCTAGCAGATGGCTGAATTCTTTCGTCACTAGCTGGGACAATGTCAGAACCTAGTGAAATGAATTTTGAGAAGATGATAAAAATGGGCAGAGTTGAATTTGAAGGCACTACAGATCCCACGGTAGCTGAACAATGGCTTGAGTGCATGTAGAGGGTCTTTGAACAACTGGAGTGTACTAATGCTGCCAAATTTAAGTATGCTATCTCCCTTTTACAAAAAGATGCTTATGATTGGTGGGTAAGTGTGCCAAATGCAAAAGCAAAACCTCCGGTGCTGACTTGGGATGACTTTGTGAAATCATTTCGTGCAAAATATGTTCCCCCTATCTATTGTGATGCTAAAAAGAAAGAGTTTCTGAATTTAAGACAAGGGAGTATGTCTATTGCAGAGTATCAACAAAACTTTCTCAGGCTTTCTCGCTATGCTAAAGGTATTATTGATGGTGAAAGAAACAAGTGCAGAAGATTTGAAGAAGGTTTAAATGGTTACATTCGAAAATCAGTGGCAATCATACAACTTGAGGATTTTTCCAAGCTGATTTCAGCTGCACTTACTTGGGAAAGAATTGACAAGGAAGAAGCTAGTAGGAGAGAAAACAGGTTTAGGAAGGGTAATTCAGATTATGGCGGTCCATCCAAAAAGGAAAAGTTTGATTATTCCAAGACTGAGAGTACACATAAATCATTACATCATACGCATAATAAGTCAAATTTTTCTACTGCTAGTACTCCAAGTTATGGACAAGGCAAAACTCATACACCTACTTGTGCACAGTGCTGGAAGAATCATTATGGTGCATGTGGACGAGCTTCTGGTGCTTGTTTTAATTATGGAAGTATGGATCATAAAGTGAAGGATTGTCCTAATCCTAATCCTCTTTCTTATACACATACAGAAGGATCAGTTCAAAAGTCTGTCACTACTCATTCTCAAGCTAATAGTAGTGCTAGACCTCGAAATATGCAAGCAACGGGCTCGAGTGTAGCTAATCAGGCTGGTGGGTCGAGAGCTGTTGCACGAGTTTATGCTATGAGACAGAAGAATGACCAGGATTGTCCGGACGTGGTTGCTGGTAAATTTCACTTATTTGGCATATCTGTTGTTACATTATTTGATCCTGGATCTTCGCACTCTTATGTTTTCTCATCACTTGCATTTCCTGATACTGTTAAATCTGTGAGACTTGACTTTGATGTGCTGGTCACGAGTCCATTAGGTCATCAGGCTGTTGTTAACAGGATTTACCGAGATTGTCCATTCATGATTCAAAATCTGGTCTTCCCTGTCGACTTACTTGAAATGCCCTTCCGAGACTATGATGTTATTGTTGGCATGGATTGTCTCCATTGGCACCATGCATTGGTTGATTGTAGGTTGAAGCAAGTGACATTTAGAACTCCTGCATATTCACACATGGTAGTTCAAGGAGAAAGATCATTGTCATCTAATATTATTTCTGCGGTCTTGGCAAGGAAGATGATTTGTCAAGGTTGTGATGCCTATCTTGCTCATATAGTCGATACACGATTGGGGAGTCCAAGTCTTAAGGACATACTAACTGTGTGCGACTTTCCTGATGATCTTCCTGGGTTGCCTCCAGAGAGGGAGATTGAATTTCCTATAGATCTTGTCCCTGGAACTACTCTTTTTTCTATCGCTCCCTATAGAATGGCTCCAGCGAATTAAAAGAGTTGAAGGCTCAATTGCAAGAACTTCTTGAGAAAGGTTTTATCCGTCCCAGCATTTCACCTTGGGGAGATCCTGTTTTATTTGTGAAAAAGAAAGATGGCACTCTTAGGCTTTGTATTGATTACCGACAACTGAACAAGGTAACAATCAAGAACAAATACCCACTGCCTAGAATCGATGACTTGTTTGACCAACTGAAGGGTGCCGGCTTATTCTCAAAAATTGACCTGAGGTCTGGATATTATCAGTTGCGTGTGAGGGAGCAAGATGTTCCTAAAACTGCTTTTAGGACCAGGTATGGCCATTATGAATTTTTGGTAATGCCATTTGGTTTGACAAATGCTCCTGCTGCATTTATGGATCTAATGAACCGTGTATTCAAGCCTTATCTCGATCAATTTGTGGTGGTGTTTATTGATGACATTTTAGTCTATTCCAAGAATAGAGAAGATCATGATAAGCATATCCGAATTGTCATGCAAATTCTGAAAGAGAGACAACTCTACGCGAAGCTTTCCAAATGTGAATTCTAGCTGAATGAAGTGGCTTTTTTAGGGCACATTGTATCATCTGAAGGTGTGAAGGTTGATCCTAGTAAGATTCAAGCTATTGTTGATTGGAAACTCCCTAAAACTCCAACTAAGATAAGAAGTTTCTTGGGTTTAGCAAGACACTACAGAAGGTTTGTGAAGGGCTTCGCTATTATAGCTTCTCCCTTGACCAAACTTTTAGGGAAAGATGCCAAATTTGTATGGGATGACAAGTGTCAAGAGGGCTTTGAAAAGCTCAAATCCTTGTTGACACAAGCTCCAATACTTTCTTTGCCAGCTGAAGGAAAAGATTATATGGTATACAGTGATGCATCTCATCGTGGCTTGGGTTGTGTTTTGATGCAATAAGGGAAAGTAATTGCTTATGCCTCTCGAAAGTTGAAATTGCATGAGTTGAATTATCCCACTCACGATCTTGAACTTGCTGCCATTGTTTTTGCTTTAAAAATTTGGAGGCATTACTTATACGGAGAGAAGTGTCACATATTTACTGATCACAAGATTTTGAAGTAATTGGGTAAACAAAAAGAGTTAAGCTTGCAACAATGTAGATGGCTTGAACTCATCAAAGATTATGATTGCATGATTGATTATCATCATGTTAAAGCCAATATGGTTGCAAATGCGTTGAGTCGCAATTCCCTTGCAAGTTTAACTCTAAGTCCTTTGCCTTTGCTTCTTGAATTAAGAGCCATGAATGTTTGCCTTTCATTTAATTCTAATGGTTCTATCAATGCTAATTTGCAAGTCAAGCCAGTCTTACTTGAGCAAGTCCAAGAAGCACAAAAGTTAGATGAGAAGCTTGTGAAACGAGTTGAAAAAGTCCAAAATATAAGAGAATCAACTTTTTCATTAAGGAAAGATGGTACCTTATTTTATAAAAATAGGTTGTGTGTTCCTAATGATGATGAATTGAGAAAGCATATCTTGATTGAAACACATAGTTCACCTTATGCAATGCATCCTGGAGGTACTAAAATGTATCGGACCATTAAGGAGCACTATTGGTGGAGTGGTATAAAGAAAGACATTGCAGAGTTCATTTCTAAATGCTTGGTATGTCAACAAATAAATGTTGAACATCAAGTCCCAGCTGGTCTCCTGCAACCTTTGTCAATACCTGAATGGAAATGGGAAAGGATAACGACGGGCTTTGTTTCTGGACTTCCACGCACTCAAAGAAATCATGATGCAATTTGGGTAATTGTAGATAGACTAACTAAAAGTGATCATTTCTTGGCAATCAGAATGGACTACTCACTTGAACATTTAGCAGAATTGTACATTAATGAGATTGTGAAGCTGCATGGAATCCATGTTTCTATTATGTCTGATAGAAATCCGAGGTTTACATCTAGATTTTGGTCTAGCTTGCAAGAAGCTTTGGGTTCCAGGTTGAATTTTAGTACTGCTTTCCATCCACAAACGGACGGCCAGTCTGAAAGGGTAATACAAATCTTGGAGGATATACTTCGAGCCTGCATTATTGAGTTTAAAGGTAGTTGGGACAAACATTTAGCCCTAATAGAATTTGCTTACAATAATAGCTACCAATCAAGTATAGGCATGCCTCCTTATGAAGATTATATGGGAGAAAATGTAGAACACCTCTTTGTTGGAATGAGGTTGGTGAAAGAAAATTTGTGGGTCCTGAGATTTGTGCAACAAACTGAAGATAAGGTAAAAAATCATCAAGGATCGTTTGAAAATTTCTTCAGACAGACAAAAGTCCTATGCTGATCTTAAAAGGCGTGAAATTGAGCATCAGGTAGGCGATAAGGTATTTTTAAAGGTTTCTCCATGGAAGAAGATTATGAGATTTGGCCAAAAAGGTAAACTTAGCCCTCGATTCATTGGACCTTATGAAATACTTGAGAGAATTGGTCCGGTTGCATATAAGCTAGCTTTGCCACCTGAATTAGGTAAGATCCACAACGTCTTTCATGTTTCTATGCTTCGAAAATACCGCTCAGATCCATCTCATGTTCTTCCTATTGAGTCTATTGAGGTTAATCCTGATTTGACATATGA